TTGAACCATTACAAGTATACATACGGAGAATACTGGAGACCATACGTACAAATAGATGGGTAAAACCTTCCATCCAACGACGGTGATGAAGAAGGACAAAATCCCGCATAATTGCAACGTAGCTAATAAACCCAGAGTGACAACATCCGTATATTCTTGTCACAACAGGAGCACAAGATGTGCAATATTATGGATTTTGAACGACATAACCAGTGTTAATTTGCTATTGCTTAAAACATCAACCAACGTAATGAGTATCAGGGCGAACGTCGTGCATATAATTAACGCTAGCAGTGCAATCCTTGAAGTTTCATATAAACTGATCCACATTATTGTGTAGCGCATAACTGTTATCTTTCCCCAATTACGTAAGAGCGCGTTGTCGTCCAGAATGTTCCTAAGAACGAAGTAGAAAGGATCGAGTTCTACGATAATCATGGTGATACTTCCAATCAAAACAGCAATGATGCTCACATAAGCGATTATTACAGCGAGCACATTAAAGAAGTCATCAAAGTAAACATTTCTGTAGGGCCGCCTTACCGTGCCGGATGTTAGAAACTTTTCTAAAACTCGAAAATTGTCCCAAGCAGAGCATACCACTGGGCCATAAAAAATTGTCACCAGGCCTCCACAAAACCCAAGTACACCAATCACCAAAAAGAAAAAAAGTTCATCTATGCTGACATAAACGGGAATGTGGGAGTCCTTCACGAACACGGATTGAATGCAGATGTAAGCACAGAAACATGCAGTGAAGAAAGTAACTGAGAGCTGGAAATACCACACTAGAAGTTGTCCATGTTTCAATCTGTAATCGAATCTTGTCTTCTTTATGTTCCAGGATATTGGGATTGGAATTATCCTGTCATAAATTTCTGCATACGCCTTCAGACATTTTAGTAGAGCAGGGGTGTTCATGGTTTCTTGGAATTTATGTGAAACGTTAGTAATACAAGATTGTAAATGTATAATGTCCAAGGAAGGCTTAGGAAAGAAAAAAGTTCTATGTGAAGGAAATATACGAAGAAAGTAAACCCGTGTTGAATGTATGTTTAGAAATTTATTATTTGTGATTCCAAAAACGAGTTTGCATAATGTGGAAAATATAGTTATGAAACAAAAAATCGATGGTAAGGAACGATAAGAAGAAAACGATTGTTGGATACATACTTACGAGGAAAACTTTTTTGGTACCCGGAGCTCCCAGCATATGTAACCACTGTATACGTTCGACCTATTTTTAATTCTAGTCCGGTGATGTGTCGAAATTTAGGTGTAAAAATGACATTTGGACACGTCGTGACGATTTTCCTGACGCGCGGAACGGTCACTTTCGCCCATGCTTTTACTAGCGTGGGTATACTTTTCACCACACGCCCCTCGGTCATCTCGCTTCTGAAATCTCAACCCATTTACTCACGACCTCAAATTTTGTAAAAGTATCTTAAATTTCGACAAAAACATGAATTTTGAACACAATCCTGTAATTTGGAAAATTGTACAATTTAAAAAAATACAGAAGAGTTTTTCAGAATTTCAAAATTTTTAAAAATTTCCGAATTTTTTTCAAAATTTAAAGAATTTTCACAAAATTTCAAAAACCCCAAGATCCAAACCTTTCAAAATTATGAATTTTTGAAATTTTGAGAAAAGTTTTGAAATTTTGAAAAATTTTGACATTCTAAAAAAACTTTAAATGCATTTAAAAAAAATTGTACAATTTTCCAAATTTCAGGATTGTGTTAAAAATTAATTTTTATGAAATTTCAGATATTTTTTCAAAATTTCCGGTCGTGAGTAAATGGGTTGAGATTTCAGAAGCGAGATGAGCGAGGGCGTGTGGTGAAAAGTATCCCCACGCTATTAAAATCATGGGCGAAAGTGACCGTTCCGCCCGTCAGGCAAATCGTCACCACGTGTCCAAATGTCATTTTTACACGTAAATTGTGACACATCACCGGACTAGAATTAAAAAATACGTCGAATGTGTATAGTGGTTATGCTGGAAGCTCCGGGCACCAAAAAGATTTTCCTCGTTAGTACTTTAATATTAATGACGAAAAAAGACTCTTGGAATAGGTGGTTATGTAAAAGCATTACCATAAAAAAATTCAAACGATTTTAATTTAATATTACCTTTTCGTTGTCCAGCCGCTTTACAAGGATACCATAAATTCAGGTTACAAAGGCAAGTATATATTTACTAGACATTTGCCCGTGTATAAGACGGGACTCGACCCCTTCCCCCGCACGCCCCACCTTCTTTCTCCCCTTTCTTGTGACGTCCACGTACATAGTTTTACTGTATTTGGTATTTACTACCATTATATTGGTACACCTGGTAACACGATTTCCATACCAGGCAACCGCCAGTATAGGTAGTCAAGACTGTATTGACCTACCGGGCAGTCCAGAATAGCCGGGATGTTCAGGAAGCCGAGAATTAAGCATCCAGCCAGACAGCCCGACATCCCAAGATGTTGGGATGTCTGACTGGATGTGTAACGGGATGTTGTGATGTCGGGATGATGGGATATCCGGATGTCTAGTGAGATGTTGGGATGTCTAGCGGGATGTTGGGATGTCGGGATGTTAACAACATGTGTTGGCATCCAGCTGGAAGTTCAATCCTTGCTGCTATCCGTTAATAGTCATTTTTTTATACATTGAAGGAATAGTAATTTTCTTCTACATTGAAAGGATGCGTTGCGCCAAACAGACGGACGGACAGACAGAGAGACGGAGTCTGGGCTATTCTTATTAAGAATATATTATTCAAGATTCTCGATTTGATTACGGGTTTGTCTACTGGATATAAAATTCGTAGATAATCTGTATTGAGTATCTGGGTAACTTTGAGAACTGTTCGATTGTACTTTAATGGGATTATTTTATACACAATGAATTCTGAATTTAAATTGAAGAAAGAATTTCCCCATGTCTTGACTCGTACGTATATAATGAATTATGTAGACGGGTTGTATAAAATTCAGCTTTTGAAAAGTTCATGCAACTGACACAACATAACATTCAGTCTGGTTTATTCAACTATATTATTTAACCACAAGTTAATAGAATATTTTTATCAACATAAATTGTTGATAAAAAAAGTTCAAATCGCGGTCCGTTTATAACCTACGGATGTAACCATCAGCAGGATATGAGACAACCATTTTGCTTACAATACAGAGGGTACAGCTAGACTTAATGTAAGAGTGAACGAAGTGGTTCTCTCCATGAATGTAATTTTCGTAGGTTTACGCAGATTTACTCAACAACCCTAATACGTCCCCATCGTTGGAATTTTGAAATTCGCGAAATTTCGGGAAATTTTGAAATTCGTCGGGAAAATTTTTTTTCCCAACGACAACGCCCATCAAATCCTTACAGCCACACCCCACGATATTTTTCACTTCTTTTGTCCCAACACCATTCCTTGGGTTTACGAGGGAAACCTTTTTGGTGCCATGAGCTCCCAGAATAACCACTACATGCATTCGACGTATTTTAAAATTTACGTGTTAAAATGATATTTGGGTCCGTGCTGACGACTTTTCTGACGCGCGGAACGGCAACTCTCGGCCATGCTTTTTATCAGCGTTGGACACTTCTCACCATACGCTGCTCGATCATCTCGCTTGTGAAATCGCAACCCCAAAAAGCAAAATTTTGAAATATAGACGAAAAGTTTTAAATTTTGAAAAAAAAATCTGAAAATTTGAAAATTTTTGAAATTTTTCAAAGAAGTTTTAAATAAAAAAATCTGAAATTAAAAAAAATATTGAAATCCTGAAAAAAGTTATGTAGTTTTTTAAAAATTGGACAATTTGCAAAATTTCTAAATTGTCTTCAAATTTCTAAACTTTTTTCAAAATTTCATATTTTTTTTCAAATTTAAAACTTTTCGTCAATATTTCTAAATTTGGCTTTTTTGTGGTTACGATTTCACAAGCGAGATGACCGAGCAACGTATTGTGAGAAGTCTGCCATGCTTTTAGCCTAAAAGCATGGCGAAAGTGACCGTTCCTTGCGTCAGAAAAGTCGTCACCACGTGACCAAATGTCATTTAAACACGTAAATTTTGTCACATCATCGGACTAGTATTAAAAAATACGTGGAATGTATATAGTGGTTATGCTGGGAGCTACGGGCACTAAAAAGGTTTTCCTCGTTAGTAGTATACATAACAACAAAAAGAATGATTTTTTTCCCAACTTTTTTTTTCTGGCACAGTGTGATAATGGTCATTTTCGAAATCCCTACCCAAAATAACGTATAAAACAGCCAACTCAAATTTTCACACTATTTCTTGGATGACGTCCTTGTAGTACGGGCCCCCAGCGGTGTAGAAACTTTCCGCAGCAAGAGCAACGATGATTGTACACATATAAAAAAAAGTCTGCAATGGTGACATTGATGGGAAAACTCGTGCAAAAACCACAGGATACATAAATTATATACTTATAAAGTCAAATCAGGGTTGCTTACTGAAGAAGAAACAATTGCTTGTTTTTTGCAAGATTATTATTATAACCAACTGAATTAATCACACACACCCGACACAACCATCCCCGCTAGCGCAACAGCGCATCAACATATAATATATCGTATCGTGTAAAGAAATTGCAGAGGACATCAATTTTTTGTTAGCATACATACGTACATACGCTAACTTTGAACATATATCTATATGATCATGATCTGCGTATGTATGATCATGCAGCACTTATTTGTACACGTGTAACAAAAAAAGTTCGTATTAGCATTATTTTTAGCATGGTATACACAAGCACTCTCCAAAGATTGTTGTCATCAATCAACTTCAATATCACGTATACTTTATTATACATTGAAAAAAACTTGTCATGCTCTGCACTGTATTAACAAAGTGGGTTAAATGATAAATAAATGGCAATGGCAATTAGGATGATGATGAGGATAAATGCTGATGAGATGAAGCTTTTATAGTGCGAGTTAATTGGTCTCTACACGAGTGAGTGTACGTTGGACAGGATTTGCTAGACTTGATCTTCTTCTATCATATAATTAATTATATTCATACTTACTCAATTCATAATTAACTGTGGAGTAAGATTGGCTGCATAAGGACAAAAATATTATTCTGATCTGTTTATTACGACAAAAACAATAAGAAAGAGTCAAAATCCTTCACATATCTAAACATGACGACGCCAACAGAGGAGAATGAAAAGCAGACCTTAGCTTTTCCAGATCTGGACGAATTGTACAGTAAAGTGAGCCCGGAAATGGAACCACTGAGAAAAAACGGCATAATAGAAGGAGAGGTGAAAGTTAATTATGTACAAAGTTAAATAATTATTAATTAATATACTAATTATTTATGCCTTAATTAATTAGAGAAAACAAGATCCAAGACAAAAATGCACAGATTTTGATGATATCCTTTCAATTGTTGGAGCAGACGGCAAATTTCAGAAAATATTATTGTATGGAGTAATCTGCCCATTCATTATGATTTCCCCGTTCCTCGTCCTTAATAATATTTTCCTACTTGATATTCCTGATCATTGGGTAATTACTGTTGTAATTAATTATATAAACGATTAAGATTTACGATTACTTTTAAATTTAATTCGCAGAATATTATTATAAATTATTACATAATTTTCCTTAGTGCACCGTCCCCGGAGTGACAAGTGACGTGGATTTAGAAACTTGGAAAAATTTAACGATTTCAAGGTAGGTAAAGGTGTACACTGTGTCCCAAAAGTATCTGCGCATCACTCGCGCGCGCGGTTTTCATTCACTTTTTCCCTTACATGTTTTGTCTTTATTTTTATTCTTAAACATTTCTTGACCCAATGGCCTCAAATGTCAGGAAATCTCGTGAACACACGAGTGAGGATGCAAACATTATCATAAGAAGGATATCCTGTCGAGAGCAGATACATTTGGGACACGGTGTATGATATAAGATTCATGATTGTTTTGATAGTAAAACCAACCAAGTTTTTTTAGAGAAATAGGACCCGATGGGGAACTAAGGTATAGTCAATGTCTCATGTATGACCCTTCTAATCCAAATGTGACCATGACCTGCAATCTGGGATGGACCTACGACAAAACGGATTACGAGACAACAATCCCATCTGATTTTGACTGGGTTTGTGAAAATATGGGCCATGCCACGGACACTTTTACGGTGGAAACGATAGGAAGCGCGGTGGGGACGGTGGTATTTGCAATTATGGCGGATAAGTAAGTGCGTGGTGGATAAGCTTTTTTAAATCGTAATTAAGCGGGAATTCACTGATATTTCGCAAGTGCCAGCGCAATATAATTTTTTGCGAACTATTTTTCTCACGAAATACTAGCCCTGGAGATTCGCCAACAGGCAACAAGTTGTTTTATCACAAATTTTGCGAACTTTGTGAGCTCATTTTTTTCCGAACGTTGCGAATGTTGCCAAGTACCGGTGAATACCCTCATTAATTTCATACCCAGTCGACATAGCTCTAAAATCGATCTGTTTTCGCGAATTAGTCGCGAAAACAGAGCTATTTGGCCGTCAAAACATGACGATTTCGTAGCGAGTATAGAGCGATTTTAGAGCGATGTCCTCGATATGTAGATATTACAACCACATAATATTTATATATTTCGATTTATTAGTTTTCTCGTAGCGAAGAATTTTTTAGCATTTTTGACCTTTCAAACCCTAGCGGGAATGGCATATCCGTCCATATTTAATATGCCATTGCTCATTGTGGCAGAAGTTTGCGGATCGGGTGAGTGGACAATAATCAGAAAATCAAAACAAATAAGTGTGTGTTTACTATCAAGTTTCTTGAAAATTTTGCCTCCCCCCCCTTTAGAATACCGAGCATGGGCGTATGCAGTCACATGGATGATATGGGTCGTAGGGAACTCGGTCTTACCCTTGGTAGCATGGGCGTGTAGAACTTGGCAACTTTTTGCAATCGTGTCGGTAATTCCAGGCTTCTTTTTGTTCCTGTTTTACCCATGGATTTCAGAGTCGCCGAGATGGTTGTTAACAATGGGGAGAGGAAGAGAAGCTCTTCAGGTCAGTCGACCAATATGCATACAGTATTTGCAAAGCAAGTAAAGCAGAGGTCGACGCCGCCGATATCGCGCCGCCGCCGCACCGTACGCCGGTAGCATTTTAGGCGCCGCCGCCGCCGATAAATACGGTTTCTTATACCTTTAACTTTGAGACGCGGCGCCGCGCCGCCGAAAAATGATCAAAATTTGGCGCCGCCGCCGCCCAAAGTTTGTCGGCGTCGACCTCTGAAGTAAAGTTCAATACCGATGCTAAAATATCTTACAATATCTATCAGATTATAAGGAAAATTGCGAAGACAAACGGCGTGGAAATAGATCATGAAGAAATGCCAGCGATGGTGGAAGATCTTGTTCAAAAACAGAAGGAAGATAGATCAAGTAGAAATGTAGGGGTTTGGACACTCTTTCAAAATTATAGATTGGCAAAGTAACCCTACCCGATTTTTATACATATTTTTTGGTCTTCTTACAAAAAAACAATTTTTTTTTAAATTTTAGAAACACAATATTCCTCGCGCTCGCTTGGTCCATGAATAATTTGCTGTACAACGGTGTCACCCTAAACACAACCAGTATGGACGGCAACAAATTTCTCAATTATTTCCTCCTTTCAATCATCGAACTCCCATCGGGCTATCTGGCGGGTGTGCTTGTGGAAAAGACTGGACGAAGGTGGACTCAAGTCGGCTTCTTTTTAATGTGTGTCATATCCTGCGCCATTTGTGCGGTGGCCGTGGTACAAACGGGAGCAGAGTATGTCGTTATTGCGGGAGCGTTAGGAATCAAGTTTGGGATCACTATTACCTCAATGGTGGTGTATTTACAAGGGGTGGAAATTTTTCCGACTCAGTTGCGCAGTACGGGGGCAGGAGTGGCGTCAACGACCAGCTCAATTTTGGGTATTATGGGTCCCTACATTATTTTTATGGTAAAATAGTCACTGTTTGGTGTTCAAATTTCTATATTGAATCGATTATTTTCAAAATTTTAGGGTAAATTCAACGCAACCTTGCCCTACATAATGTTAGGGGTGATATCCGCAGTAGGTCTCGTCGCCTCGGCTGGTTTACCGGAAACATTTCGCCAACACTTACCTGAAACGGTGGAAGCAGCTAATAAGTTTGGGAAAGGTGTTCCATTTTGGAGTTATCTACCGAAACCACGACACGACGGTGTAGCGGATAAGGACAATAGTAATAAGAATGGAGAAATTGAGAAACTGAAAGGGAATAGTGATGATTAAAAAAATATGAAAATAAAATATTGTTTAGGTAGATATGTAGATAGCTTTATTAAGGGGTGCAACCCCATTATAAGATTGATATTGTATCCGTCCGTCGGTCTGTGGTTGCGTCGCAACAGAGGTCGACGACCAATTTCCGGCGGCGGCGGCGCCAATTTTGGCTGATTTTTTGGCGGCGTCGGCGGCGCGGCGCGGCGTCCCAATGTTAAAGGTATAGGAAAACGGATTTATCGGCGGCGGCGGCGCCTAAGATGCTGCCGGCGTCCGGCGCGGCGGCGGCGCGAGATCGGCGGCGTCGACCTCTGCATCGTAACCTAAATTGAGAACGGATTGACCTAGTGACCTAAAATTTTGCACACACAATCGTTGCCTACACGAAGCCAATTTGAAGGGTAGGAGGGCAAGAAAGAAGCCGCCTATGTCCAAGAACAACATTGTAAAACGATTGCAATGGGCAAAGGCTCACCAGGCGTATAGCAGTAAGGATTGGGAGAGGACTCTTTGGTCGAACGAAAGCAAATTCTCCATTTTCGGAAACAAGGGGTCCAAGTTTGTCTGGCGGAGACCAGGAGAGGCGTTAAAAAATTTTTGCCTTCGACCTACGGTCAAGCATGGAGAAGGTAAGAAAAATACGAAATTGCTCACATAATCCGCAGTTATGAACCCATGTTTAAATGTTCAGGGAGTGTGATGATATGGGTGTCAATGGCGTTTCTTAATTGATTTTGAACATGCATCAATTTGATAGTTGTTTTTGACGGATTTGGCCAATTTCTCCAACGTGATTCTACGGTCTCTGTTGGCGAGCTCCACGATCTTCTTGTCTTGTCGGGCCATTATCGCCTGAGGGCGACCTGATCGTTGACGATTCACCACCGTTCCAGTTGCAATAAACCTCGTGATCACATTTACAACTGTTGACCTTTTTAATTTCGTTTTTTAGACAATTTTGAAGGGTTTTACACCCTCTTCATGGAGTATTATTATTTTTCTCCTTTCCTCTGTAGATAACTCTCGAATTTTCGCCATGTTCCCTAAATTATGTTGGCAATAAAATTATTAACTCAGATTTAACCAAAAAAATAAAATTACACAAAATTGTTGGAGAATTGTGTCAACAACGCGAATAAATCCAGCCATGACCATTACTTTTTTCCCTTCGATTTCGTATAATTTGAGACAAAAAATTTCTCTACCGCTAGTCCTTATGATTTACAACCAAAAACCATATATATTCTTGAAGTACATTAAATTGTGATCAACATAAAAAAATTTGGTTGGATTCGGTTATCTCGCATAGCCGTGATAAGCTTTTACATAATGAGGTACCCCCACGACCAATACTTTCTTCCCCCGGGTGTATCTTCTGTTGGGGACTATTCAACGAAATCTCGTCCTTATACCGTTCCCCACAATCTGGACACTCTGCGAATAATGCTTCCTTATGAAATTCTCCCCGGTGTTGTTCTACGCCTATCTTGTCTCGAAATCCAACCCCACAGATGTCACATTTCCGTTTTTCTGTGTTATAGGTGCATCGATGGGACCCCATCTCTCTATTTGATGCAATTTTCAAAGTCATAATAATGATAGATATGTAATCAATCAATTAATTCTATTTGCATTATTGTGCAAGTATTTAAGTGCACATCGCAAGTGTAATTAAATATGACTCTAATTTAATCAAGCATTTGCAACGCCTTAGAAAAAGTAGGAGTTATCGTTTTAAATTTGACTTGGAGAGTTAACACAATGTTTAAATTAAGGATAAAGTAATTAAAATTAGAATGCGCCAACATTTATTTTCCTCCATATACATAAATACCCAGGTTTAAATTGGAATCACATTTGCATATCTATCGTTAAGCAGGTTCTATCAGGGTTTATAAAGTACGATGTTTGCAATCAAAATGTTTATACATTTACCCTGCAAATAATCTGGTGATAAATTATTATTGATTAGAATAATACATAACAATATAAAGACGGTAAGAAAATGACGTATCTATTTGTTATGGAACTACAGACTATTGTCGCGACACTTCTTCCGCTATTACTTCGATGTTAGAATGTATAAAACACGGAAAAATAAAAAAAAAAAAACATTACATCTGGACAGGGAAACATTTATTTCATGCTATTTAAGGAATCTACGAATTTCCTAAAAAAAATGATATATTGTCGTACTAATTCTAGATAAACGTAAGTGCATTCGACACTTAATTCTAAAAAGACCTAAGTGCAGTCGATGTTTAATTCTGATAAGATATAAGTACACTAGAATAACAATGTAATTTTTTTTTACCATTTCTACTAAAAATGCTGCACTTAGGTCCTATTGGATTTAGCATTGCCTGTGTGGGATCGCTAACTTCACCCAGTGGAAACTATCCAAACAAACTACCCGTCTGTAAGAAGTCGCCGTATTTTGACTGTGCCGTGTAACAACTCGAACCGATGAGGGGATGATTCACTACTTATGTGCCTTTTTACTAACTTTAAAATAACCCCGCTTATACAAGACCAGGACTGTTATCTTTAGTAGCAAATTTATTAACACACTTTTCAATCAAACAATTTACACAATGATCGGTTATTGCCACTTAGACTATTCCTTGCCACTTGTCAAGGTTGCCTTTACAATATTGCCACAGATTGCCTTATAATATTGCCACTGATTGCCGATGTATTGCCACCTATTTTCATTCTAGGTGTCAACTTATTATTAATATTAAGTATTCATTAAACATTAAAGTACCGTAACAAAATATACTAAAACAAACATGAACAAACACGAACAAACCGTTCGACTCTGTTCTACACAAATAGTCACCCATGAGAAGAGAACAGTTCATGAACAAACAGGAACAAACACGAACGAACAAACACGGTGTTCGTACCTAAAAAGTCACCCACAATTGGTGAACAAACACGAACGAACAAACACGGTGTTCGTACCTAAAAAGTCACCCACAATTGGTGAACAAACACGAACGAACACGAACAAACAAACACGGTTCGACCTTAAAACTCGCTTTGCCTATTATGTAGTATAATACACTAATCTTATATACTAAATATATACTACATATAATAGCTAGATTTGACAGCCTGCATTTAGGTCTTTTTCAATTAAGCGTCGACTGCACTTAGGTTTATCTAGAATTAGTACGACGATATTTACATGCGGAGCACTCAATAAACCACAATACTTACTTTCATTCTAAAGGATCCGAAATTTCACTGTGCTCCGCATACTGACAGGTTTCTATTTCCACCTCCTCAGAGATCAATTCTCCCCTTTCCATTATAGGTTTATTTCCTTCGTCCCCATGCCGAACCTGGCGCAACTTTTGAATCGGACCCTTCTTTCCGTGCACTTTCTGCTGATGGTTGTTCACCCCATTCTTATCCTTGTACCTTTCCCCACACTCGGGGCACTGTGCGACCAACATTTCCTTATGAAATTCCCTCCGGTGCATTTCCACTCCTAACTTGTACCGAAATCCAACCCCGCAAATGTCACATTTCCATCTCTCCGTATCATGGGTACGTTGATGACGCTCCAGATCGCTAAAATATTTATATTGCTTCCCACAGGCTGGACAATTTATGCCTCCCGGAGCAGCAACCCCGGTCTTCTTCTCAGCCACGAATTTAACACTTAGTCCGCACTCACGTGCCTTAGCGCAGGTTTTGACGTGTTTTACCAAGTATTTTCTAGACAAAAGAATTACTTATATGAGCAAACTTTAACCGCTTTTATTCCGAATACTCCGCCATCTATCGGAGTGCCTAATACTTGAGCCGTTCAAACACCAGTAAAATTTACCTCTTAGTGAACGCACGCCCACAATTCACCGCCTCGCACCGATACGGTCGCACACCGGAATGGATGTTTCTATGATCCTTGAAATCGGTCGGGCCGCTCGCCACGTGGGGACATTGGGGACACGAGTACGACACCTTAGCGGGGGAGGGGGGTTTATTCCGTGTACAGTTTTGCGATGAGATCTCAGCAGTTTTTCCGTCTTTACTCGAACAAGGCAAAGTTCACATTGGAAGGGACGCGAAAATGATGTGAGGATCACCTTGGAACAATTTGCACTGGCGATATGCATCCGCAACGAGTAACTATTTCGATACCTGGACGAGCACGTGGTACAGATGAAGGATCGATCTAAAAAATGGGACGTGATATTATTATCCACCAACTGTATCCTGGAACAACCGGAACAAAAAAAATGGAAGCTTCACACTGCAATCGTGGATTATGTTTATCTTCGATTTTTTAATTTAACGCGGTACGGGGTATGTGAGACGCGACGGCATAAATAAGATTTTGTATTCACGCACCTCAAAGTCTCACCTCCCCCAAACCTCGTAAAATTCAAAAATCTGAGATCAAAACGATCAATTGTAAAACTCCCAAATTTTTTGTACGGGTTAGCCCAGGACGCAGTTGGTGGATAACATTCGCAAATTTTTGAGATATAAATAAAACTAAGAAAAACAATTATCCATAAAACCTCCAATTATTACCATTTCCATGTCCTGCAATGTGATGTCGAAGATTCGACGCCCATTTAAACGTTTTTCCACAGTGAGGACACTCATGGAGTTTTGGTGGTTTGTAATACTTCATTCGCCACTTCCTCCGCTCCAAGGTAAAGTTCCGTCTAAAGTTGGCCAATTTCTTGGAGTCATTCTCAAGTTCCGACCACTCCGGGGTGTGGCGCAATTTGTGCATTTCGCACATAACCCAACTCGCATAGGTTTTGGGACACTTGTCGCAGGTGAAGGGACGCTGGCCATTGTGCGTTTTGCGATGGGTTGCTAAATCTTTTTTTGTAGCGAAGTTTATCCCATATATGTAACATGGTTGTTCATTCGATAGGTCGAAATTGGGAAATGGCTGAAAACAAAAAGTAAAAAATTAAGTGATCAGTTAGTCCACAAATTATATCACCCAAAATGGCAATTTTTCAAACTACCACCTCGCGGCTTGTCACACCTTACGCACATTGCTATGGTCGATTTTTAAAATTATATCCTTTTGTAAGTGAGTTTGTCTTAACGCATTTAAAATTCAAATTACTAGCGCCCAGTAAGTTTTTGATGGATTTCAAAAGTTTAAGGTAAAGTAAACGGTTCTGACCAAGCAAATTTCGCACAAAGTAAAAAAAAAAATTGGTCCAATATAAAAAATTGACCATTACAAGTTGCGCAAATCGGCATAACTTTTACTCCCTTCACACGAGACAGTATTTATGGAGATCCTCCTAACAATTAATTATGCTTGCAAAACTTATTCCAATAATTTACCTTGTCACCACTAACAGCATTATTGTCATCATTACCCTCATCTGTGTCAAATTCTTCTGTATCAGCTATAAAAATTTCTTCTTTTATTTCGATCTCATCATTGGCCCCTATATCCTCCCAGGATTCCACTCTAGTCCAAAATTTCGGCCTTTCCGGCAGGATAATTCGTCTAGAATTAAAAAGAAAATACATACTATAGTACAAACTATATTCTTTAAAACAATATTCACTTATCATCCACTCCTTACAATGTGTCCAATTTGACCTCGTCCCACAGAAGAATATTGATGTCATGTTCCTCTAAAATATGCAACGCAATTCCTGGCTCATGAGGAAAGTTTGCACCACAAATTGCACACTTCCAAACAAAACAATTGTCATAATTCGACATTCCGATAATTAATTAATTTTGCGGAAAATAAAATTATTAGTTGAAAACAGTTGAATGTAGAGACGTCTCAAAAATGTTTATTATTACGTGTGAATGTTATGTTGGGCCGGGTTTTAATTCGTTTTGTGTCTTGATTAATTAATTAATATGTATTTAAGTTCATAAAAGAACTACTGTAGTCCTACCAAATATTCAACAGTTTTGAGAAGATACACATTCAAATATTTGTAAATATATAATTAGCCTTGCATTGGAGCAGCTGAAAAGGAGAATTTTCTCATGTGTTGAAGCTTTGAGTATCTCGGAGGTTTGCGCACAATGAGTCATGGTACTTTAACAGTGTATGTATCAGTATCTGTATATACCTAGTCGTGTGGAAGGTTTGTACACTCAGGGTTTGTCGCGAGGAAAACGTCATGAAGATAAAAAAATGAGGGTGCAACCTTTCTCAAGTTTTCCTGCAAAGTTAAAACTTCATATTAAAATATTTTGCGATTCAATGGTGCTATTTATTTACTACCTATACTTGAATGAATAAGGTGTACATATGCAAATGTGATTTTTGTATTTTTTTCTCTTTATTGATATGCAACTGGGTTAAGAAATTAGGCTACTAATTTTGATACTAATTCTACTAAATTTACTTAATACAGTTTGGGAAAAGGGTTGCAAAAAATTATATTCATACACAATTTTAACTTGTTTACGTTCTATTTGTTTACAACTTAAATAAACAATAATGCAAAGTCAAGTAATATTTTACCGTCAATTTGCACAAGAATCTTATATTGCAACTAAACATTTTTCCTCGACAATACCCTGGCACAACCATTGGACCCAAATAAAGTGAGATAGTTGAGAGCATGGTAAAATATGCCAAGCTGCATTCACAAAATCCAGACAGCGGAATGAACAGGACGGGAGGAGATTTACACGCGGCCTGAGCTAAATGAGGTGGTGTGGCAGGTCTACACAAAATGCACTTTTTGTCTAATTAATCAGTTTAATTAATATTATACTGAACTAAATATTTACCCATAAATGGGCAAGGCAGCTGCGGGGACCGGAGTAGAAGAAACGGACGAGTCACTGCATGCACTTCTGCAAAATCAATGTTTAGTAACAAAACTTTCACTTTTTCACCATAACTTACTCTTGCCTTTTGCGAGGGGTGAGCACAGTCACCGTGCTCTCTGTTTCTGAATTGTATGCGGACCAACTGCTCGTCCAATTCCACACACCGGTTGGTTTAATAACTTCCTAGTTTCAATTAGCCTCTGTGAATTTTGAAATCATCCGAAGAATCACTTCGCGTTTCCCAGGCAGATCTTCGTGTCTATAAATCCACACATCACCTCCAAAAGCGAAACTGTCCAATGGAAGGATGGGGATTCTCGAATTCTCGATGGGGATTGGAAGGATTCGTGAATACGATATTTACTGTTTCCACAAAAAAGGCACAACCGAAACCAGTCCACTCTTGGTTATCTGACATGGGTATCCCACGTGTTCCTATGACTGGGTAATTGACCAACTACCCTCCAAGGCAATATTGACCTTTGACTTTTTGGGTTTTGGACTTTCTGATAAGCCTAAAAATCATAATTATACCTTAACATGGCAAGCAGATTTAGTCGAAGAGCTGCTAGTACGACATAACGATAAATTTTGCAAAGAAGATCCAACCAGAGTAGATGTTATTCTCATCGGTAGGTACATACTTATATATTTACTTGCACTCATGAAAATTATAAGAAATTACGTTGAGTTAAAACTTAAGTGGTAATCTATTTACTTTTAAGGTCACGACACGGATGGGATTTTCGAATCCTTCCAATGGCGTTGGACATTCATGGCAAAACGTGCAAATTTATTGAGAAGTGGGGGAGATTCGCGGTAATAAGTTTGGATCAGATGTATTTGACGAGGCGATTAAGATCGACGAGATTTACCCAGATTTACCGAGGGTCTCTTTGGCTTCAATTTCTATCCCGTTGTAAAAAATACGAAGGCGACGTACTACGGGGCCATTATTTATTACTATATTACGGCCTTGCTGTCAGTTAAAGTGTAGTTAAAGGTATTTATAGATATAGATAGTTTAGTTAGTTTACTTTTATACATATAGATCTTCAGGTAAAAAAAATATTTGTAAAATTTCCAGAATTAAACATGAGATAGTCATAAAAATAGCATGGAAAACTAATTTAATTCTGATTTACAGAGGGATGATTCAGATTCTGGTGACGATTTCAAACCTTAATTTCTCGAAATCGGTTTGTGATAGAGGTTTCGGATATTTCTATTATGAAAGCCCATATCCTAGACAATAAGTTGACACCTGTCACTCCAACTTGTACACACTTTGACGACTGTAGGACGATGGATTTTAGACCACTCATCCTGCAACACTTTCCAAAGTCCGCGCATGGTGGTGGGACGTGGCACAAACGATTTTTTTTAATTTCCAAAGCCGAAAAGGTCCATATGACTAGCATCCGGTGACTGCATATGTATTTCACTATTGAAAATAATTTTTATTTCAAGTCTCTCGTTTAAGTCCTTGGCGTATTCCTGCGTTAACTTTTCAGTATGAGATGACGCTGCGTCATGATGAACTACAACTTTTGAGGTCTCGCTACCATAAAGTTTTGAATCTGGATTTCCAAGTGGCTTTAAGTGGCTTTGTGGCTTTAGTACAAAGTCAATATAGTATCGTCCATTGATTTTAAGTTTTTCAGGAACTTTGATAAGTGGTAAGACGCCACGACCGCAGAAAGAACCGACGACCATGCACTTGTTAGAAAAGTTTTCCTTGCGTTGCATCACTCATTTTGGAGGATTTTTATTGTTACTAAATCGTAATATATTCGTCGCTGGCCATTTGTATCTTGTAAACAAAATAGTTGTTCATCCAACGACACCCCAAATTCACTTTTATCTTTTGTCAAAAATTTTTGGTAAAGGTTTTTTACAAATTCGTCGACGATATTTTTACTCCTCTCGGTCCACTGATGAACTCGGGTCTTCCTCTTGCTCTTCCTCTTTTTTTAGGCCTTATGTACTGCACCCGTAGACATCTTGGCTGCAAGAGGAATGTGTTTTTGAGTTGGTGGATATTTTTTTGTTGTCAGCAGGTCAATTTTTCTGAGGACGGTCGAAGTTAACACTTTTCGAGGGTATTTCTTAGGGGGTGGTAGAAGTCCAAGGGCACGAGATTCACATTTAATTCTTTCTGCATTCAATACTTTACTAATCAAACCTTTACTTATTGAAAACCATTGACCTCTGACCTCTGTAATTATCATGCTATACGAATATTTCAGTTTTGAAAGTGTTTTTATGATACTCTCATACCCAATTGTTGCTGGTAGTGCCCTGTTTGACACAATTGACTTGAAATTTCTTGTGACCAATTTCGATAGTGTTATCGATTACTGTTGTGAATTTCAACTTGAAATTCCCACCAGATCCAGAAATATCTCACTTCAAAATCGTCACCAAAATCTAAATCATCCCTGTAATTTTGAATGGTGTGATGCCAATTCTGGTAATACTTTCTTTACGCGAATCGTTCCACCAATGGGTTACATATTCCAATAAAATTGTTAACGAGTAGAGCTCAGTGATTACTGCAGCAATAATAGAGACCAATGCCATCTTTGACACTTTCCCTAGAGACACACTTTAGCTCGTCGTTTCATAAAAATCATACGATGAAACCATGCTGAAATAACAAAACAGGTTTTCCGTAAAGCAATCCATCATCACTGAAACCCAAGAGAAATGGACTTTCGGTTGGTAAGGGCAACTAGGGTTTTGCTCCGTCATACGACAGACAGGAGAATAACTTATGACATTTTGAATATCCTACCTGATATGGGACATTGGCCAGTCTCGTTCGCAAATCTCGTGACAAGATTCGAATTCCTCGATGCGAATTTATGGTTCCAGCCCCCCGTCGTTCTGCACATTTCGAGAGTGGAGCAAATGATGACTAATGCGCTTGGCACACAAAGTACGAAGGCACCATTTAAAAAAATGGACAGTTTAATTATTTTTATTTTTACGTTTTATTACAGTTCAATCTGTATTGTTAAATTTTATGCGCAAAATTCATAGACTGTTAATTTGTATGCACAAATATTTAGGACAAAGTGATAATTATTATATTTAATTTGACAAGTATAATTTATGACTTAGTGGACAAGACAGACTTAAATATTTTCAAGGAAATGGAAATAAAATATTACACAAATTTGTGTGCCTTGGTATCAAGAGGTTAAATTAGATAATGTTTTTCAGCCCGCTTCGAACTACATACGCGATGATCCTTTTCCGCGTCCCATGGGATCATGGAGAAATGGTGGGAAGGATGGGGCGTTACGAACATTGCCATTGGCCGGGGCAGGGCAAGCAAGAAGTATGATGGTGGAACAAGGAGTTAAAATAGATGATGGTGGAGATGAGACAGACTCACCCATAAACTCCGTCCTGATTTCAATAATTGGAAATGTCGGCGGGGTTGTGTTCTTTCTAATTTAGGTGAGAAAGCGGGTGATTTCGGGAGTCAAGTTGTTGGTGGGAAGGGCATGGCGTCAAATACTTATGTCACATAGGTTTATTGGTCTCGTAAGAGTGTTAGTTAGCAGAGAAAGGGGCTTCACGCCCGCTACCACTATCCTCAGCGGTAGTGCCTATCACAGGCGAGTTAGTAAGAAGGAGAGAGAGAATCATACATACGTGTGCATGGATGTTGACTCTTCGCGAGTCAGAATCGTACTCAGCGTTCGCTTGGGCGAACGCTCCTTTTATAGTGGAGTTGCGGGTACCTCACCCGCAATAAGTAAGGTTAGCCTTCACGGCCAACTAGTTCGGTCTCTGGCTCAACCAGACAGGTTAATTAATTTAATCAAGGCGGCGAGGGGGAATTTGCGTAGTGTAAGCTTCTAGCCTTACAGTGTTTACGCCGTGTACGCCCCTAATGAACATGGACGAATGAAGATACAAATTTCAAAAGGATGTCGTGGTGGCAAATAGTTTTGCAATCATATATAACTGAATTTTTATTACCCACGCCTATTTACTTACGTTATGAAGATTATGCATGTCCCCAATGATTGAAATAAAATTTGACCAAATTTTCCTCACAATGAAACCACCATATCGTCGTACTAATTCAAAAAAGAGTTAAGTGAAAAATTTCCGTATATAAGTTTTTATGCACAGAAAAGACGATGAAAAAGAGCTAAGTGCATCGAGTGGACTTAACTCTTTTGTGAATTAGTACGACGATATAATTATTTATAAATCAACAAATATATTTATTAAGCTAAAATCTCTACTTAATCTGCAAGGGCAGAAAAGAAGTATGTAGTTTTATATTAAGGGAAAGAGAACTTCATTCTTCACAGTTGAAGAAGACGTGTTTAATCTTTTGGTAATCCAGTCA